AATTCCCAACCTGTCAGTAGCACAGACCAATGCTACATTTCTGATATCACACCACTAAGAGACAGTGATTTTATTTTAACAGAAATAGATATGTTTTCTGGGTTTGTCTCCCAGCTAGGAGAGTTTCAGCCTGCACCTCTCTTCTAAGGCTTACTAAATGTTCGATTCACTGGCCTAGAAACCTACATGGCATTGTGATGCACCAGTGGATTCATTTTCTAGCAAAGGAGGTATAGGACTGGGCACATGATCATGGGATTCACTGGCCATATCATGTCTGATCCCCCAGAAGTTGTCAGCCTAAGAGAGGGACTGAACTGCCAATTCAAGACATGATTAAAGTGACTGTTCAGAAGAACTATTTTGAAAAAATAGAGGGCCATCTTATGGGACAGAGTACACATTTTATTTATTTATTTGTTTGCTTATTTATTTATTTATTAGAGGGTTTTGCCTTAGGGTGTGCTCTTGCCAGAGAGAGACAGATGGACAGACACAGTGAGAGGGAAAGTGATAAATCATTCCCAAGAGAGGAAGGCCACACTGCAATCCCTTCTGCTCCGTTCTCCTCCTGGGATCTTGGACATGCATGTGCACACGCCTGATGTGATTCTGAAGCCAGGATCAGGAACTCAAATCTCGGTTGGCCTCGTGTGAGTACAACAATATAACTACTATGCCATCTGCTGGTCCCTAGAGTGTACACTTTAAATCCACAAATTTATATGGGTATAGGAACTAAGCAATGGGAATTAGAAAAATTTGTGTTTCCTATAACTCTAGGTTTTGTGGATTTCAAGTTCTGATTCTCAAATGTGAACATTATCAGAGAGTTGAGGTCTCAATAACCATAAGATATCGTTGCCACCTATACACCAGGACTTTATCATGACAAAGAAACAGAAAGCAAGAAAAGAAATCACCATCTTGTCAAGGCTGGCACTCAAGTAATTCATTCATGAAAAGGCTTGAGGGCCTGAAAAGGGCTTGGTAACTAGAAGCTCAAACCCTTTTAGAATGTGGGTTGTTGTTAGACATCCATGTAAGAAACAGAAACCAAAATAGGTGCTAGCTGATGGACAGAGGAAACCATATTGGACAATAGTTTAAAAAGACCGTGAGCTTCACATGTGCTGCCAAGATCAGCTGCAGTGTGGCAGGTATCCTAGTTCTTGCCATTAACCTTTTTTTGAGACAATCTATTTCACACAATTACCATCAAAAAAGAGAAAATCGTGGTACATTATAATTGTACATGCTGTATTATAAAACATATTCCTTATAAGACAAGTTGTAATTCTGATAAAATGGAGATGAGAATTGAAATATTCCCTTAATTTTAACCGATCCGATGATTGGAAGAGTTTTCCACCAACCAGCTCCTGGTTCCATGCATCTGTAAACTAGTATCTCCTATTATCTATACTTATTCTGATACCAAGGAACATTAGCGTTTAAGACCTGGTTTTTGACACTCGATCTTCCTGTTGGAATGTCCAGTCACATTTCTTTTTCTTTTTTTCTTTAAGAAAAAGAACAAGATTTACTTTGTTCCCATAGTTCTTACAAGTATTTTAGATACTTTACCAGCAACTCTAGGAGTTCCAGGCCACATGAAGACCTTGCACTATGAAACATACAAGAACCACCAACGCCACAGGACTAGCTTTGCCCATTCATTATTATTATTATTATTATTATTTTGGAGAGGTTTTTGCCATAGGGCCCGTGCACTCGCCAGATAGATAGAGAGAAACAAAGAGATAGAAAGCAAGAAATCACCCCCCCAGGGAGGATGGCCACGCCACAATCCCTTCTCCTCCATTCTCCTCTGGGGATTTTGGGCACACACACACACGCACCCGGCGTGAGTTTTAAGCCACCGGGTCCAGGACTCAAACCACGGTCGACTACGTGGGAGTCCAGCGACATAGCCATTACGCTAACTGCTGGTCCCCCATTCATTAAAATAAGATTAAGTTGTACTCTATTACTCAAGTACTTTATTTCAACTTTTATTAAACAAACCAAATCCAATAACCTGCAATGCCTTACTAAAAGGCTGCCTCATAACTGAACCATCATTTCTAGAGAAGACGAAACTATGGCTTCAGACACATGACTGAAGTTTGGCTGTACCCCTCATAAACACCACAACATCGCCAGAGAAAGCTAAGCATGAGGATTTCTGTTCAACCCTCCCTGAGAAAAGTACTTCAACACTTCTACCACCTCTTGAGGCTCACAGAATTTGTATTTGCCTAAGAACCCTTCTTACTACCAGCCCAGGAGCCAGCAGGTGCCCTGATGGCTAAGACACTGGCCTTCCACAGTTCCCGTTCCAGATCTGGTGGCTTGAATATCATGCTAGGTGTGGGTACCACATGCCCAAAATCCCAGGAGGAAACTGGAGGAGAAAGAACTGTGGCATGGCCATCCTCCTTCCCCCCTCCCTGGTAGCCACAGGAATGATTTCTCACTTTCCCTCTCTCTGGCTCTCTACAGCAAACACAGGCATCCTAACTCCTAACCCTCCCCCCCCCCCCCCCCAAAAACACCCCAAAAAAAAAAAAAAAAAAAAAAAAAACTAAAAAATAATCCACACTGCAGCAATCCAGGTAGGCAGCATCACCTCCAAACTGCCCATCTGGGGCTTGGCAGAGTTCACCCTCACTGGAAATTTCTGGACATCCAAGCTCATTACAACCAATGCAATGGTGGTTAACAAATGCTAGCCTCCTCTGCTTCCTCCCCACAGTTCTCCAGCTGCTCCTGCTTGGTGGTCGTGACCACCACAGCCCACACTGCAGCAATCCAGGTAGGCAGCATCACCTCCAAACTGCCCATCTGGGGCTTGGCAGAGTTCACCCTCACTGGAAATTTCTGGACATCCAAGCTCATTACAACCAATGCAATGGTGGTTAACAAATGCTAGCCTCCTCTGCTTCCTCCCCACAGTTCTCCAGCTGCTCCTGCTTGGTGGTCGTGACCACCACAGCCTTGGCCTTCAGCTTCCTCCCAGCCAGAGTCACGGTGCCCTCACCCCCCGAGCCATTTCAATACACAGCGGTGACTACAGCAAAAAAAATAAAAAAAAAATTGTCACTACACAGAAAGAACTGCAATCACAAGCTATATTGTAATAAATTCCTACAAAACGTATCCTTAACTCACCTTCCCCTAAGCTCGCCATCTGACACGTGGGAAACTAAAGAAAGAAGAGGTGCGGTAGAAATAAACGCTGGTCCCCTTACTCCTGCGGAGCTGGTCGCGAGTGAGATCTGAAGATGACCCTCTAACCAGGGGCAGAAGTGGATAGGAGCATCCGCCCGGACAGGAGAACGCAAGGGAGTAGAAGCCATCGGCAGAACCTTTAGTTCAGACAACACGATTCTGACGAAAGGTGGAACCCAGGGGCAGCATAGCCAACAGGACTGTGGCCAGAGCGATGACGAGGCGCCGTCGCCCCGGTGCAGCCGAGCTGGGAGTCCTTCCGGGCCAGAGCTACCAGGTTATGACTTGACCCTGAAAAGAAAGCTACTTCCGCCTGCTCCCTGGACAAGTTTAACTGTAAACCGTTCGCAAGAGGGGAGCATCCGCAGAAGAAAATGGAGAGCAAGTGACTGAGGCTGCAAGAGGACTAGGACAAACAGAAAAAGAAAGTAGCCAGAACGCGGTTTAATGCACCTTCCTGGCGCCGAAAAGAACCAGCTGGGTTTTCTCAACACCACAAATAATCACAATCTATCCCAAGGGCTGCGAGTGAGCAGCGTACAGAGGAAAAGGGCCCAGACTCCGAATTCTGATCCTTCTGCTTTGGCAAGGGGCCAGTTTAATCTCATGCTGGCGGACGCCAATAGTGATCGGCTCTTCACGTTGAACCAAAGTGGGAGGCTCCGAGTGTGGCATCATCAGCTTGCATGGCCTGAGGACCCCGTCTCTCAAGGTGCAGTGTTGGAAACTACCTCACTAACCAGAATGTGAATTCTGTGTGCAGGGCGTTGCTGAGTCATCTGGATCCTCATATTCTGTTGTGCCTCCTGGGAGTCGCAGAGACTCTAAGCTGTGCCACTCTTGCTCCCAGTATCGCCACTCGTCAGCAGTCACCCGATAGACCAGCCTGGCGTGTCTAGTTTCCAGTTTTCTTTCTTTCTTTTTTTTGGCTGAGGGAGAGGTTTTTGCTATAGTTCACATGCGCTCGCTAGACTGACAGAGAGAGACAGAGAGATAGAAAGCAAGAAATCACCCCCCCAGGGGGGGATGGCCACGCCACAATCCCTTCTCCTCCATTCTCCTCTCGGGATCTTGGGCACTCACACACACATGCCTGGCATGAGTTTTAAGCCACCAGGTCCGGGACTCGAACCGAGGTCAACTACGTGAGAGTCCAGCGACATAGCCATTACGCTAACTGCTGGTCCCACAGTTTTCAGATTTCTAATCCCTGGCCTGTGCGTGGTCCCTGAACCTCTGGGGGGAAAATCACTGCTTCAGTATATAGGCTTGTCTCGGAGGGTCTTACTGACCAATGTGGTGATAGGACCCTGGCAGTCCTATGGAACCAGCAATGTTGTCTTGGTCCAGCATTTTTTGCTCTCATGGCTCCTCTGATGTTTAATGGCTGTCGTTCTCAGGGGATCTTTGTTGATCTGTGTGCTCCAAATCAAGGCAAGGGGTGGAAGGCCATTTGTGTGTTCTACAACTGGGCTGTGGCCTCTGTGC